GGCCTTGAATTTTCTTTTTTTATATTTATTTTCATTTTTTTTTAAAGATTTATTTATGCAAGAAAAGGAGTATAGGCCAGAGGTGTGGGGGTGAGAGGTTTCACTAGAGACAGATTGGGGAACAGAACAGGCAGATTGACTGAAATACATGACTTAGGGGAGCAGCAGGTGAGTCAGGAGAGGTCTGCTGCGCAATGTAGCTCCCTGGCCAAGGATGGAATTCATTCTGCAGTGGCTGTGGATAGCTTCCTAGGTTGTGTCTTCACCCCTTGCGCCCCAGGCAAGCTCTGGCCTTTAATTTTCAAAGCTTGATTTTACAGTACTATCTAAAAGTAAGCTCTAGAATTAAAACAAAATACAAAGAAAAAATAGAGAATAATGGGGGAAATAAAGATATGTGAAGAAAAGGAATGGGCTTACCGAAAAGAAATGACAACATTAGATCTTTTGTCTTCTGATTTTGCATTGCCACATTCTGATGGACATAGAGACAGTTCAAAACTGGTTTCTATTTAAATCGTGCAATAGTTCCCTTAAAACACCATTTTGAAAAGGCAGCAGAGATGGCTAACAAGGTCACTTTTTCCAGGAGAGAAAAGAAAGAGTATAGATTGTTGTTAAATAATTGTAACATATTTGCCTTGTTATTACTCCGCCTCCCAACCTCCTAGTGGTAGGAAGTCTTTGGTTTGATCACATCAGAGGCTGGTATGAGCACAGACATGATTTCAATATTCTCTTCATGATGTATGAGGAGATGAAGAAGGTAAGAGGAGAAGGTTTGTTTCTATACAGTATTTCTTTGAAACCCTTTCTTATCTTGCTTTCAATTACCCACATTCTCCTATTCACTTTCATACCTAATCAAAACTTCATTTTGGGTTTCTCATTTATTGCCCATCCCCTAATCATTGTTTTTCCATAGGACTCTCTTGTCATTGTACAGTCATGTTTTGTGATTCATCCTTAAACAACCATCTGGAGCAATGAAGACAAACTCAAATGTCTAAGATGGCTGTAGCTTATAAGAAAAGGGATGACATGGAGCTTGGTGACACGGCCACCAGTATAAGAAAATTGTGTGCTCTGTGAACCCAATTCTTCCTGAGTATTAAAGAGAGTCTTGAACACAGATTTCAGGTGAAATCACATGATGATTTCATGTTCACATCCAGTCAAAAGTGTCTTAGCAAACTGTATATAGCAAATATTTAGACTTCACTGTTGTACTCTCTCAGATTGATATGTTGATTTGCAGTACATAATTTACTCATGAAAAATTTTGAAAACCTCATATGATTGGGACTAATCATGAGAAAAAAGTCATTGAATCCCATACCATAGAACTTAAATCACACAGGGAAGATAGGTATTATAAGCAAATCTATATAACTAGTAACTATTTTAATTGTGTAAAGGAAAACTGCAACTATGATATCTACATAGATAGAATAAGAGGATCTGCTCTGTCAAAAGTGATAGGCAACTTTTCTGAAAAAATGCTACATGAAAACTGCCAAATAATATATATGAGTAAACAAAAGTAAATGAGGTGAAAGCAAATTGTAAGTCAAGGAAAGAATGCAAATCCCTCTAACAGTGAAGGGCATCACACCTTAGGAAAGCTAAGGGCAAATGTTAAAGAGCATGGTAGAAGTGAGGAAAGATTAAGATTGAAATGAGCCACACTGTGCAAGTCTGCAGATTATGTTAATATAGAGATTTTTGGGCCTCCCCAGGTGGTTCAAGGGGTTAAGCACAGCTCTGTGAAGCTGTCCCCAGCCTCTGTAGCATGAGTTGGATCCTGGCCAGCCAGGGAACTACCAACATGGCTCAGCAGACCTCTCCTGTCTTGCCCACTGCTCTCCTCAGCAGTGTATTTCAGTTAGTCTGACTGTTCTGTTCCCCATTCTGGTGAATCCTCTCACGCCCTGCATCTCTGGCCTGAACCCTCGTTCTTGTATGCATAAATATATCTTTAAAAAATAGAAATTTCCTTAATTATAAGCATTTTATGAGTTATGAGGAGAGCAATGTGACAGAAGTAGTCCTTTGAGAATATCATTGCCTTTAGTGAGTTCAAAAGTTAATATGGCAAGGCAGAGGCAGACCAGCGAAAATCACGGTTTTTGAACAAGGACGGTGTCATTGGGTTTGCAAGAATACAAGGTTTTTGATATGTTTATGAGGCAAAAAGGAAGGGGATTACATATCAGAAAAATGAAAAAGAGAGAGGTATCAGGATGATTTCTGTGTTTCTCTTCATATACCTCTCCATAAAATGGTATCTTTCATGACGGTGTTTAGGGAACACTGAAACAGAGTGAGACAATAATGAGATAGGTTTTGATATATGGAGTTTAACATGTTTAGAAGCATCCAATTGAAGATATGTGGAAATGTATGCTATATATGTATATGTATATATACACATGTGTGTACATATGCATGTGTATATGTATATACATATGTATATAGCATACATGTTTGGAGTTCATTAAATATATACATATACACACATGTATATATGTAAACATATGCATATGTATATGTATGTAAATAATTTCAATTTGGGTATTCTCTTTATATACAGTATAACTGAAACTTTGTCCATTAAATCTACTGACAGTATCTAGCATAGTAAGCCAAACTGGAGTGGATTAGGGAATAAATGCAATACAAATACAGTAGTGATGATTTGGAGGGGAGAGCAAGGTTTAATACTGGGAAAGGCATGTGTAGGGCTTCAGAGTACCGGCAATGTTCACTTTGATGTCTATGTTGACATCATGAGTGTTCATTCACTTCATAATTGAATATACTGCATACTTGTTTCATGCCTTTTCTGCATGTGTGTTAATTTGAAAATATCTTAGGAATTTTCTTAAAGATTTATTTATTTATGCATACAAGAGCTGGGGTACAGGCCAGAGGTGTGGTGGTGAGAGGACTCACTAGAGACAGAGTGGGGAACAGAACAGGCAGATCGACTGAAGTACACTGCTGAGGCGGGCAGCGGGCGAGACAGGAGAGGTCTGCTGAGCCATGTGGGTAGCTCCCTTGCCAGCCTGGGATTGAACTTGTGCTGAGAGGCTAGGGATAGCTTCACGGTGCTGTGCTCAACCCCTTGCACCACCAGGGGGTCCCTATACTTCTATATCATTTCTCTTAATATCTAATAGCTTTTGAGTATATGTGTTCGTGTTCTTAAATATAATGAGTGTATGATCACTACTCAATGTCAAATTATTTCTAGAATTAATTTGATCACTGGGGTCATGATTTTACTTCCCAATCACAAACTCTTCAACGGGCTAGTATCACCTACAGGGTAAGTACTAACATAGTTGGCAAGCCAGACAAAGCCCTTTTGTATTCAACCTGCCTCTCCAGGTGTTTTCTTTGTGACTCTCAAGTACCAGGCACACTGACTTCCAGTTTTCATTGACTATGGACAGCATTTCAAGTTACTGTTGTTTGGAATTTAACCCTGAGGAGGGAATTCTTATGTTTTCTCAGAAACGTTTCTTACATTCCTTCTGAATAGGAAGAAATCATTTTTCTTCTTGAAAATTGCTCTCACTGCTACAAGATACTATTAATGTCCCTTTTCTTTGAGCTCTCATTGTACCTAGTGAGTTTGTCTCCAGTTTTCAACACCTCCATGCATTTATTGTGCTAAAATATCATAACAAAATTTGTTTTTTTAACAACTTTAGGAATACTGTTTTGTGGCACCAACAATATTCATACTGATGTGCATCCATACCCCATCCATCTGCAGAAATTGTTTCATGTTGCAAAGCAGTAACTTTGTACCCCCCAAAATTAACTCCTTCCAGCTGCTGGCAGCCACCATTCTATTTCCTGTTGCTATGACGATGACTATGCAGAGGCTCATATCAGTGTAATGATTGATTTTTTCCCATTTACACTGACATACTTAAGTTAACATTTTGTTGTCAAGATTCATCCATGCTGTAGCATATGTGAAAATTTCCACCCTCTGAAGGACTGAGTGCTACTCTATAGCATCTAAATATCACATTTTACTGAACCACTCATGTGTGGATAGGCCACATAGATGGCTTCCATTTTCGCAAATCACAAACATTCCTGCTATGAAGGTGAGTGTACAAACACCATTTTGAATCCTTCTTTTCAATTCTTGAAAAGAATTCTTCAATTCTAATATCCACAATAGGATTTGAAATTCATATAGTAATAATATTTTTTTTTATTTTTTGAGGAGTCCTAAACTAGTACAGGAGTTTCTATAGAGACTGCGCTATCTTACATTCTCAGTGATAGTGCAAAATGGTTTCTGTTTCTCTACAACTTCTTCAATTTTTGTATTTTCTGCTTTTTGTTTGACTCCTTTACAAAGCATATTAGAGCATAAAAATACACATGGTAGACTTGCAAAGGACAGAGCCTTCATGCCCTCTCCAGTGTTAGTAAGTGCCAGGCAATAGTCAGTACTTTATTCTAAAATAGGCTTACCATCTGATATTTCATCTAACTATAAGCCACTGTGGGTTTCCTGAGGAATTTTAGTAGGTTGAGTCAAAATATCATGTTGGTACATTTGGTGAATTAAATGCTTTTTCAACTTAAAATTTTTCAGTTTATTACGGGTTTCTCATCATGACCTCTTTGTTAAGTCAACAGAGACTTATACATGTTTTGTTCTTCCAATGAAATTGTGAACTCTTAACAAACACATATTATTCTCTTAAATTTCTTAAGCACATTTTCTAAAACACCTAGGACATTATTAAAGGACTGGCTGAATGAATGATGATGAATTGTCTTTATAAAATCAAGGGATAGGGAGTTCTAAGAAAAAGACAATAAAAGCACACACTTTTAGAAAGAATAAGTTATCCTTGTCACACTTGAGATGTAAAATATCTTCAGTTTTCCAAAATGTGATACAGATATTTGGTTGTAGCTCATATATTCCTTATCTATTGAATAGGTTCTTACAATTCTTTCAGGATCTCAGAAGTTCTGTGCGAAAAATCAGCAGATTCGTTGAGAAAGAGCTGAGTGAAGAAGACATAGACACTATTGTGGAACAGTCTACATTTGAAACCATGAAGACTGATCCACTAGTAAATGATGAACAAGTGTTAGGACCCGTCGTTCCAACCAGAACAGAGGGAAAATTCCTGTGCAAAGGTGATGCTCTGTCTGGTTTATAGAAGCAGAAATGTTGAAATTTCACTTGCACCCTTGGCCACCACACTAAACAAGGAGTGGTTCCCACACACCTCTCCAAGTACTGCCGGTTGGGCCCTAGAGACAAAGATCCTAACTGTATGTGGTCCTGAAAACTATCACTGGAAACTGAAACAGGACTTCAGTACACAGTCTCAAACTGGAATCTGACAAATAAATAGTAGTTTCCCAACATATAACCCACATGATCCTACACGTTAAAATCTGCCAAGAGGAATTACCTGCAGACAATGGATATATATGACCAGGAGGATGTCAAAATTCCCTAGACTAATGCAGAAATTTATTTCATATGTATTTCGTGTGGGGGAGGCCATTTGGCCTATTATTTCCTCAAGTGTCAAACTTCCTCAGTGTGATGAGCTGATTGATATCTCATAACCTATTCTTTTATGAATTTTATTATTCAACAGTATGCAATTAATTTTCATTGTGCTTTTGTAATTTATGAGTGGTTAAGAAGATATGTTGCTGGGCCTCCCTGGTGGCGCAAGGGGTTAAGCACAGCACTGTAAAGCAATCCGCAGCCTCTGCAGCACGAGTTCAATCCCTAGCCAGGGAGCAGCCCACATGGTGCTGCAGAACTCTCCTATCTTGCCTGCTGCTCCCCTCAGCAGTGTATTTCAGCCAGTCTGCCTGTTCTGTTCCCCACTCTGTCTCTGGTGATTCTTCTCACTCCAACACCTCTGGCCTGTACCCCAGCTCTTGTATGCATAAATAAATCTTAAAAAAAAAAAAAAGACTATATGTTGCTCCTAAAGCTCCTAAAGAATGAAAGTTTTAAACGTTTAATGCACATTATTCTGCAGGAAACATAAACTGTATTTTTGTTTTATTCATTATTTATTTAATATATTGAGAAAATGTATGATGATGTGCACTGGTTAATTCTTAATTGTGTGTGAAGATCTTGTTGAAATTTCTCTAGATATCAACATTTTTAAAAAGCAGTGTTCCTTCTTTTGTTCTATTTTTATCCCATTCATTTCTTAGTGCTCAACAATATCAGCTTTTATGCACTTATAGAGCTTGCTAACTGTTCCAAGAAACTCTTGAAGAAACTCTTATTATTGAAGATGCCAAATTGTTTCTCTCCATTTAAAATTTTGGTTGTATGTTGGTTGCAAATATCTGTCATTCCAATCTGCAGCAAAGACAGATCTTGGCACCTTCTGGGACTTTTACTTCATTACTTGAAAATCCGTTCTTCTTTTCACATTTTAAAACTGAAGTAATACTTGCCTTTTGCATTTTTGTTGAAAATTCTATTACATGACAGTGGTAATTTGCCCATTATGATCTTTGGAATTTTGTAAGATGTATTTAAACGTAAGAATTGTTCCATAGGTGGTGATTTTGCTTTTCCTGGTAAGATTAAAATAGATGCAGTGTTTGGTAGAAGACTAACCCATAGGGAGTTGAATATAACTATGTTCCCTGTTGCTGCATTCCTCAGCTTGTTTCTTAGCTCATGTATGTGTGAGCAAAAACAAAGTTTCCAACCCATGGAGAACTAATGGTAATTTAGCTTGGTTTGCAGAAGAAATTAAAAGGATTGAAGGAAATTGTTGTCCTGATAATGCTGCTTCTCACAGAGGTGTTGTTCATGTGCTTTTCCCACTAGGTACCATTGGAGACTGGAAAACTCACTTAACTGTGGAACAAAATGAAAGATTTGACAGAATATTCAAAAGTAGGATGAAAGATTTCCCCTTGAAGTTTATCTGGGATATGAATGAAAACTAGAATCAGTGCAAAAGAAGTTCATTCAATCAACTAATACAGAGTGTATTTTAATATACAGATTCATTTGTGCTTCTCTTGCAATCTTAACTATAAATGATCGGTGTTTAAAATGTGATGAAGGGCCTCCCTGGTGGTGCCAGGGGTTAAGAACCGCACTATGAAGCAATCCACAGCCTCTGCAGCACAGAGTCAGATCCCAGGCCAGACAGGGAGCAATCCACATAGGGCAGCAGACCTCTCCTGTGTCACCCGCTGCTTCCCTCAGCATTGTGCTTCAGTTAATCTGCCTGTTCTGTTCCCCGCTCTGTCTTTGGTGAATCCTCTTACTCCCCGCATCTCTGGCCTGTACGCTAGCTCAGTATGCATAAATAAATCGATCTTAAAAATACAAAATAAAATAAAAATAATATAATGTGATGAAAGTAGATGTGATGAATTTGATGAACACTAAAAAAACAGAAATTTCAAAATTTAAATTATTTCTGGATTGTCTGCATAGGTAGCCTGCAATGAAAGGGGAAAACAGAAAGTATTGTGCATGGTTTGTAAATGTGTTGAGTTTCCTTTTCTGTGTATTTTTCTATTATTTACACTTTAAAAGTTGGGCGCAATCTTGTTAAGATTATTTTGTTTCTAGAGTTAATATTTAATTTTTTTCTTTTAAAATCAATGTCAATATTGAAATAAAATGAAGATTGCATGTGTGAACATATATTTATATATATATATCTGTTTAATAGTTTATTAGGTCACAATGTTGCATTAGAGAACAAAGGATCAAAACAAAATCATTTATCTAGTTCACTAACTTAACAATCTGCATGAAAAAAAGATTTACACATAATGTCACTTTTAAACTAATTCTAAATATATTTAATAGCAAAGCAGCTAACTAAAATAATTTGCTATAACTGGAAAAATATAAGTGAATCTCTTTGTAATTCTAAAATGGAGGAAAACTTCTAAAGCATAAGTAAACAGAAGTACCATAAAAGATAAAAGTTAGAAAACTGAGAATTATAAAAACATCAATGCACCAACTCCATAACAGCCAACAAAAGGAAGCAACCCAAGGTCTATGTACAGTAAAATAGATAATATACAAGAAAACACCATGTGTCAGTAAGGATATGTGAATTATAATTACCTGGATATCTTCTATGAATCGCAGAAACATAATACTCCGTGGGAAAAACGGCAACTCTACTGTATGACATCACATACAATTCAAAAACAGGTAAAATTAATCTATGACTTTGAAAGAGAGTGGTTATGTGGAGGGGTGATGCAATAATTTCTTTGTTGAAGTGTAGCTACTGCCATGTGTTTGTTTCTTTTGCAGATATATAAAGGCTTCTGTCTATGCTGATCTCTATCTGAATATGACTTGCATTAACTTTACCCCTCCTTTAGTAAGATTTTGATTTTGCTTTCAGTTTGTTCAAGATTTATATTTAGCTCAGCTGTTGAATTTGCTTTCTTAGGTGCTCAAAATTGAGAGTGTGAATCAGAAACTTGTGGAAGAATAACTGGGAAGTTTGTGAAAACAGAACTCCAGGATAAAAAATGTTTTTCCCTGCTCTCCCCATAGCATACCCTTGGCTTTAAAATATAATATCCATATAAATGTGGGTTGATTTCTGCTTCTCAATTCTATTCCATTATTTTATATGTTCATCTTTTATTCCAGTGCCACAATGTTTTGACACCTAGAGCTTCTAGAATGCTAAAACTGTGGGATTGTGAAACTTCCTTCCTCTTCTTTTTTGTCAAGATTGCTTGGTCTTTTCATCGTCTTTTGTTATTCTGTATAAATTTTAGTATTATTTGCTCTAATCTTTGAAGAATTCCATTGAAATGTTGATTAGCAATTTCATTGACTCTATCTGTTTCTTTGAGTGAGATGGATGTTTTAATACTATTATTTCTTCCGATAGGAGCAAGGAATATCCTTCCACTTCCTTATTCTCCTTTGGTTTCTTTTTAGAAACCAAATATCTTATAATTTTCATTGAATAGGTCTTTCACCTACTTTATAGTTCACTCCTAAGTATTTAATGCTTTTTGATGTTACTATAATGGGAGTTTTCTTGATCTCTTTTTCTTCTATTTTGATTTGTCTATAGGAACACAACAGACACTTGCATATTGCTTTTGAGCCCGTGACTTTGTGAATTATGGATTCCAAGTTTTGTTTTGTTTTCACCAGTCATTCGGGTTGTTGTGTATATGATCATGTCATCTGTTAGCAATGATAGGCTTAATTTTCTCTTTAAATTTGGCTTAATTTTGTATCTTCCTCTTGCTTTATTGCTCTGCTAGGACTTCCAATAATATGTAGAAAAGTAGTGGTGAGCATGAACATTAATGTTTTTGTCTTTGTTCTTTTATTAATTTTTCAATTTTCTTACATTGTTACTCAGTTTTGTAGAGTATTTGATTTCTCCCCTCAGATGTAGTCACCAATACTTGCCTTCCCTTGGTCTAGATTCATGTTTTCTCACTTTATTTGAAGAGTTAGAATCACACTAAATTTATTTGCTTGTTTATTTGGTTTTTTATTTATCAGTATTTTATTTATTATTTTACTGACCAAGTCAATACTTAAGATCATAAAGCAGAAAAATGTTATAATGCAGGACAAACAAAACATTGCTAGTCATTCATTGTGAGAAGCACAGTATTCAAAAGCTCATATCAGTTCAGCGATGATGTTGATCTTGTCCTGTGTATCAAATGAAGTTTCAAAGTTTCTTCATGATTTTCACTTTCATCTACTCACTAATTTCAATGAATATACCAGGTAGTCATCACGTCACAACATTATTCATTCAGCATTGGGCAACAGTAGATCGGGTATTCAACAGTTCAGAAAAAAATCAGTGAAAGCATGTTGGGAGTATAAATTGACCCATTTATAATAAATATGACTAAATTGCACATTTTATAGTATTTTCATATTGTATTTCACATTTTCTATAGTAATACAATTTATAATAAATATATAGATATATCTGTAAGGTCTGGCCAGGGCAGAGATGGGGTAGAGATGGGGGGGACTTGAAACTGCTACCACCTGCATCCCAGGAGCTGGCTCTGCCCGGTTGCACAAGCCCTGATAAGCAGCTTTGAAAGAACAACCAGTTCTAAGAGAAAAAATCTTCTTTGAAAAGCAACTTCCACTCTGCATTCTCTGCCTCCCTCCAAGGCCAGGCCCTGCCCTATAAAAGCTTGCACTTATCCCCCAACAGGCGCAACTTCTCCTACCCCCACAGGAGTCAGCAGATCTTGCCTGTGAGCACAACACATTTCCTGCCTGTGAGAACCTTAGCCTGGCTCTCATTTTCTTTATTGAGCCAATCCTTTCAATATCTATAAATGTACACAAACATATTCATACATATGCACATCACTCTCCTTTTTACAGTTATCAGATTAATATATATTTACTCCCATTTACAGATATATAATCCCTCAAAAGAATACTCTCACAAATATCTATAAGTCAATATGTCTGAGGATACTGTGCTATATAATTTTTCTGCATTTATTCTCATATTAGATATGATAGAGGTATAGAACTATAATATTTTCAGGGATAAAGTATAATGACACCATAATTTTATATATTATAAACATGGACACACTATAACATCTATCATCATACAGAGCTATAACATTTTCTTCTTGTGATTAGAAATTTTAAGGTGTGCTTTTTGGAGAACTTTCATATATGCAATAATTATTTACCATAGTTATCATGCTGTATATTACATCAGCATGACTTATTTATTTATAAAGTGAATGGTCATAACTTTTCACTTCTTTCATCTAATTTTCCCATTCTCCTTACCCACCTCTAGCAAATTCCAATTTATTCTTTGCATCTATGAACTTGGTTTTTTGGGGTTTTTTTTTTAAGATTCCAATATAAGATAATAACAAAATATTTTTTCTTTTCTGACTGAGTTATTTCATATAGCATAATTCCCTCGAGATCTGTCCAAGTTGTTGCCAATTCTAAAGATTTCATTCTTTTAATGGCTGAATAATATTCCATTGAGTGCATATATCATATTGTTTCATCCATTCATCTAACAAGAAAAGCATTTCATGCAAATCAAAACCACAATGAGATACCACCTCACACCAGTGAGAAGGGTCCATATCAAAAAAAAAGCCAGAAACAACAGATGATGAGGATGTGGTAAAAGGAAAAAAAAAAAAAAAAAAAAAAAACTTGCTAGTAGGAATGCAAAGTGGTCCAGACAGTATGGAATGCTCTATGGAGGTTCCTGAGAACATTAAAAATTGAAGTGCCATATGACCCAGTGACTCCACTATTAGGAATCTACCCAAAGGATATAAAATACATTAATTTGAAATAGGAAAGCTGCATGTCTACATTTAGGGTAGCAGTATTTACAATAGCCAAGATATGGAAACAAGCTACATGCCCCAAACAGACCAGTGGATCAAAACGACATGGTATATATACACAATGGAATACTACTCAGCATTCAAAACAGATAAACTCATGCCATTCACAGCTACATGGATGGAGCTGAAAGGGATTATGCAGAGACGAATAAGAGCTGAAGGGATTATGCAGAGACGAAAAGATAAATATCAGATGGTTTCACTTATATGTAGAAGATAGAAAAACCAAACAAAGGGTAAGAAAGACAAAACTTGCATACTGACCAGAGATCTGAGATCTATAGCAGGGAGGAGGAGGCTGGGGCTCAAATAAGGGGAGGGAAGACACAAGGGGCAGTGGTGATGGGTCACAGGGGCTGTGAAAACCACAGGGACTAAGCCTGAAGGGAGCAATCACATACTGTCCAAAAAACAACAGCGATGTAAGAAAATAAATTAATTAATAAAAAAATAAGTAACAGTGAAAATCAAAGTGTTAGGGGAACAGGATGTCCTAAAGCTAATTCCATACAGGCTTTGTGGACTCCACCCCCACCCCAGGCCAAAGCCAAAGACACTGGGAACTCCAAATCCCATCACCACCAAAGGGAAGGTGGCTGGGACCTGAGG